GAGTCGGGCGGGCGCCGACACTTAGCACCGAAAGGGAAGAAGTTCAGCCGAAGCCGGCAGCCCAAGAGGAGCGGCGGCGGCCGAGCTTCCGACCTCTTCTGCTTCCGTCACGCCAACAGCGAGAGGAGCCCTCGCGAGCGCAGCCAACCAGCGGCCGCCTGGAAGTCGGGCAAGGCCGGCAGGAGGAGGAGGCGGAGGAGGGGACGCGGCAGGCCCGCTCGCCTTCCGCCACCGGAACTAATCCTGGCGAGGGGGCGCCATCCGCTCGAAGGACCACCACCTCCTCCTCCTCCTCGTCGTCGTCCTGTTCCGTCCTTCCTTGGGATGACGCGTCTAAGTCTTTTTGTCTCCCTACCCGGTACAAAGTAGTCCCTGCGGTGTGTGTCGTGGCGGCCACGCCGAGGCTGAGGGAGAAAGAGAGGGAATTCCGCCGGAGGGTGGCAACAGATCCCTCGTACATCCGAGGGCGGGGCGGGGGACTGGAGCGTCTGAATGAAAGAGGCCTATACTAGCAGGGGGGAGGTGAGGTACGTTCACCTCAGGAGCCTGAATGCGGCCACCTTCGCCCGCCGAGGGGCTTAAAATGGGCAGTAGGTCGTCATTCCTTACGAGGCCTGCGGGCGGGGGGTTACGTCCGGAGAGAAGAGCCTCTTTTTCCCGCCCGCAAGAGGACTGGGAATGACGGGCGCCAACGTCAGGGTCGCCCAGGCCCTCTTGGGCTTCACCTCCTCGCCTGGCTGGCCGCCCGCCCGCCCGCAAGAAGCCGCCACGAGGGAAACTGGGCCCGTCTTGCCCTTTTCTTTTTTTCCGTGCTAGCCTAGCCCGACTGCTCTGAAGCACCGCTCCACCCAATGCCCGCTCCCAGACGGGGAAACAGAAGGAGGCAGATGGCCTTTGCAAGTGAAGGAGGTTGCATTGGCAGCATCGGGGGATTAGGAAAGTCTCTACATAGTGCACCTGGAAAGGAACTGCGGCTCACCTTCCCCTGGGAAGCTAATAAGCCAATGGGCTCTGTACCTTACTCGATTGGCGTGCAGCACAGCCCTAAGCCACGTTTTCTCAGAAGTAAATCCTGCTTTTCAAGGTGTACTGCTAGTGGGTTGGGGATTGTGGCCTTGCCTATCGTTAGGTGAGAAGTGCGGATGTCTCATTCCAGAGAGTTCAAGTTCCCTTATCAATCAGGGCAAAACCTAGCAAACTAGAGGAATTAAGAATTTGAAGCCAAGGCCTGATTTCTTTTCTTAGCAATGATAGAGTGAACACTCAGATTTTAACCTGGGAAATTAGAGTATATCAGGTCATCCTCAGTACCTAGCATAAAAGTGGAAAGAACATTCTCTAAAATGCTCCCCAGACTCCAGATGTTCTTGGACTTCAACTCCCAGAAATCCTGGCCAGCAGAGGTGGTGATGAAGGCTTCTGGGAGTTGTAGTCCAAGAACATCTGGAGGCCCAAGGTTGGGGACCACTGCGGACACAACTAAAGCAAATCAAACCTTTTGCCTACTTGTGCTTCCCAGGCCAAAGTTGGGAACCACTAGTTTAGTACATAAAGTTGGGTACCACTGGTCTAGTGCAGTACATGAAAATCCATTGTCAGTGCACCTCCCAAATCACCATTCTTCCAAAAGAGATAGATATTATATAGATGAACAATAGATAATTTCAGAATAATGGCTATGCTGTTTGTCTGGCTACATACAGTATAAAGCATATACTGTACTGTAGATTAGAAAGTAATTATAAGGAACTAGTGTCAGTCATATATTAATTACTTAATGCAATGGGTTCTTGGCATGTCACATCAATACATGCAACCCTTAATGCAGTGCAGCTAGCACAGGCCATTTGTGATTCCAAATAATCATAGGAATGAAAATCATGATCTTGAAGGACAGGAGAGCTATTATGAAAAGGGGAGAGGCATAGGGGGAGGGGCATGCCATTAATGTCTTATCAGTTGCATTCCTATTAGAATTGCTACAACATATCAATGTGTAGTTTGGTGTATGAAGATCTTATAATGGTAAGTGAATCATAGGCAGCCTTGCCATCTCTCCACATATGTCTGTGTTATGCAAGTGCATTGCATGGTGCTGCTATTTTAAATCAGATGATTGCATCCTGGGATGCCAGAAGTGGCCATGCAGCACTTTGAGTTTTCTGTTTTCATGAAGAGCTGCAATTCCGAGTCACTGTGAATGTATTTATATCTTTAAAAGAATGTTTGAGGCATCTAGATGAGTCATGCACTGACTGTACTAAGTCTCTACAGAAATTATATAATAGCTTTGATGCCACAATCACAAAGGGCAGCTGAAGCCAGACAATATTGTAATGAAGATTAAAACTTGAATTTCTGGGAAGTAGCCAGAGGTATTATTAACTGCTGCTTTTAAAAGTTCACCATTCTTTTAATATATTGCAAAAGTAGTATTATGAGCACAACTTCTCTATCCTGACCTCTAATGCTGTGCAAATGTCTAAAATGTTGTGTCAGAATTATCTTAAATTATAATAAATGGATATATCTAGTACAATTTATGTTTTTATAATAATAATACAATTTTCTATTATATCCTGTTTTTCAATATATTCAAGTACAGTATATGTGGGAGGACTAAAAATATTTATTTATTTATTTATTTATTTATTTATTTATTTATTTATTTAGACAGACAGACAGACAGACAGACAGACAGACAGACAGACTTCCCACTTTTCTCCTTAAAGGACCCAAGATGGCTGTGGTGGAATCCCTGTCCCACCTGTCCGTCATGTGGAGCTCTAGAGCTGGAGCCTATGAGAGGACAGGAGGGCGGAGTCAGAGGGACAGTTGGAGACTGAGAGAGAAGGAGAGAGGAGGTTTTGAAGGTTTATGAGATAGATTGGAAAGTTGGTATAGTTGGTTGATGTGTTAAAGAAATATTAAAGGATAGAAGTATAATAAAATAGATAGTCATCATATCTGATTCCAGTGATTGATGTGAAGTAATACAAATAAAGAAATGTGTTTAATATCCAAGTTTAATGAGTGCAATATAATGAAACATCTATGAACCTACTTGTGTGATTCAACAATCAAATAATCAGTTATATTTGACAACGCGTGTCTATGCAACATTATTGGTAAAGTGTCGATAAAGATCCACTGGTGGCAGTTGGTGAAAGGAGAAATAAGCAAGTTGTGGACCTGGGCATGAGGGAAACAAACTAGGGACACTGGTGATGCGCAACATAAGTGGTGGCAGCAGTGGGATCTGAACTGAATTCCAGTAAGCTGTGGGATATGAAAGGAATAAATTCCAGTAAGCCAAAGAAAGGGAAAAGAAATTCTCTGAGTCTTACAGTGTGGTGAATGAGCAGGAAAACAGAATCCTAGTGCCAAGTGGGACAGCTGTGGCCCCTTCCAGGCTCATATAACTTCCTGCTCCATACCACTTGTTCCATTTTGATTTGGACTTTTTCAAATGACAAAGTGTGGTAGTAAAAGCTTTCTGTATCTGCACAGCCCCTTTTAAATATATATTATTAGCACATTATTCCTTCTAAATATATACGTACTATTTGTACATCCAATCCATGATGCTCAGGGAGATGTTTGTACTGATGTCTATTTGTATTTTAGAAATGGGGAAGTTAGGCTAGGAAACACACTTCTTGCATGTGAGCAACGCATACCTGAATTTAGTGCCAGGTCTGCTGAGTCTAACAATAATTGAATACTGAATTTCAAAACATATTTAGTGGGAAGTATATCAGAAGAAGATTGTGGTCTACATTTTCCAGTTTCCAAAAATCTAGTGGCATTATTCCTCTGAAAATATCAAACTCAGAATAACAGCTCATAAACCTTTCCATAGGCAATAATATCTAGATTATATCTCAACCAGTGCTCTAGGTTTTTGGTTCTTTCTCCTTGGCAACTGGAAACCTTCCTGTATTCACACATGTAAATGCTGTAGAATTTTTAAAAACCACGTTGCAACATGCGGCATCTCTCTCTATCTGCAGAACAGATGGATTATATCAATATACTCTTCAACTCATGCTCAAAGCCAATTGCTATAGCAATGAGAATATTTTTACATCAATACATTATATGTTGTGCTGTGTGAAAATTAAGCTAGCAGTATGTCATTTCTTGGCTATGCGATGCAATCATGCATTGTTATGATAGGCAAAATCAGCTTCATAAATCTTAGCAGCCCCTCAATATTCTCACACTCCTCTGAAGCTGACAGTTCTTTATTTAGATTTGACATTTCAGTAGGAAACCATATTTTATTTCCTTTGCAATAGTACATCAGAGCAGCATCTTGTTCCCCCACCCGAACAATTTGTTATAATACAGAATCTGTCTTCTCTTTTGTCTGTTTTCTGACATCATTAAAAAAAAACTTTCAGTCCTTGGTTCCTTCACGCCAAGCCCAATGATCATGCCTAATTTCGTCTTAATAACTTTCCTTATCTACATCGGTTGTCCACTTTTTGGAGCTTCAAATTTTTTACATTTCTTGGCAGTTTATATAGAACTTGCCTTAGCTTTATGACCCCTAGTTCCCTTATCCCATTGTTCCTTTCTCACTGCTCTCAACTACTGCCCCCCTCCAAGTCTCCAGATCACAGCTTTAAAAACTGCTTTTTGAACTCCTGGTCTCTAGAAGTTGCCCTCTGTGATGATCGCCCATGTCACTCATGCCATTCATATTCAGAAGCTGATTTGCATGAGCCTATGAGAGGGCTGGAGAGGTTGAGTCAGCAGCTACATGAGGCTTGGCGGGAAAAAGAGTCAGAGAAATAGGGCTGTTTAGTCAGAAAAAGAGGGAACATACTGAGAGATATAGAGCTGGTTAGAAAATAGAGAAGGTGGTAATGATATAGCAAGAGAAAAGAAGTATATACTGAGAGAACTGTTAATTTGCTTGTGGATATTGTTTATCTGAGAAACATCTGTTATTATTCAATCTGCTTCACTTCAATAAACAAGTTCTGTTTCTGTTAACAAGTCAAGTGTTCAGACAGACATCATTTATATTGTGGATTGAGGTAATCCACTGGTGGCAGCGAGAGGAAAACACGATGTGAGCCTTTGTGATAGAAGAACAGGCAGGGGCCACAAGGGCGAACGCCACAGCCTCCAAAAAAGGAATCTTCCCATCCCAAATTATCAAGACAGTGATGATGTCTTTGTAAAGCTTACAACCAAATCTGTCCCTACCAGACCAGGAAAAGGCCTGCAGTTTCAAAACATTTCTGAATTGCACCCTGATAGTGATATGTAAGTATGGCGATCCCCTCCGAAGCCGCTATCCCCCCAGGCCTTCATGAGGTTTTCGCTCTGCTTTTTTCTTCACTGCCACAAGGTATTACTGCTTTAATACCATTTAATCATGGGGACATGTGTGCTTTTAAAACTTAAGTCATTTATTAGATCAGGGAAGTTAATATATGATTAATATTCAATAGATAAATCACAGGCTGCTAATCACTTATATTTGAATCAAATCTGATATAAACTTTAAAGTACTTTTAACCCTCTGTTTCCATCTAGACTCTTACAGATCTCTAAGTCACTTTCCAGACACTTTCAAGTTACACACAGTCTCTCTCCCAGAATCTCGCTCAGACTCCATACACCAGTCTATATATCCAGCTCCCTCCCCCCTTGGCTCCGCCTTCCACTCATTGGCTCCTTCTTCAATGTTCTACTGTGACGGACAGGTGAGGGCAGGGCTTTTCGCTGCAGTAAGATAATATAATTCTGTGGAGAATATCATTGCACAGCAAAGAAGTCTTAATTGTGTCCACCTGAAACCAATCTCTAGCAGAGTAGTTCCCATTCATAGTTCCCCAAATGTTCTTGGATTAAAACTCCCAGAAGCCTTTGCCACTAGCTGTCCTGGCCAGGATTTCTGGGTTGTAGTCCAAGAACATCTGGGGACCCAGAATTGGGAAGCACCGCTCTAGCACATAGACAGATGGAAGGACAAGTATGTATGACTGACATTCCACGTGTACCACATTTCTATGTGCCTCTTAGAAACAATTCATTTTTTTACCTTTTTCATTAAAACATTCTGTTCTCAATCTCCTTATTGTCTCCTTTAAATGGTGAGGCCAATTCTTTCCCCTTGATCACACCACCACTTCTGGCAATGTTTTTATCGGATGTTTGGTCAGAGTTGTATACCCGAGTAAACCTGAAAATACATGCTGGAACTCTTGTTCTATCTCCTTCAGATGTTGTTGCTGTCCCTCTTCTAGCTCCTCATTAAGAACAATCTTAAGGTCTTTTTGCAGACAATTCTTTGCCTCTGGGCCAAAGCTCTCCTTTCCAACCTCTCCCCATAGGGCCTCCCATTCTTTCCATTCCTTTAAGAGGTTCACATGAAAGACCCCCTTTTTCTTTGTTTTGTCAGGCATTGAAATTTCATAATCTACCTGTCCTATTTTCTGGAGGACTTCGTATGATCCCTGCCACCTAGCAAATAACTTAGCATTCTCGGCGGGCATTAGCAGTAACACCTTCTGTCCTGGTACAAATTGTCTAGGTCTAGGCCTAACCTTCGCATCATATCTCCTTTTCTGCCCCTGTTGCACTCTCATCAGATTGTCCTTAGCTATTTTGGCCACCTTTCATAGATGTTCATGCATTTCAATCACTTGTTGCACCACTGTCTCAGCTTCATCCTTCCCACGTTCTCATTTTCAACATCTATCTTTCAACAGAAATAAGATTCCTCTGGGGTTCCACCCATACATCATTTCAAATGGGGAGAAACTGGTGGAGGTTTGTGGCACCTCCTGAACAGCAAACATCAAGGGAGCTATCAACAGATGCCACCTCTGTGGTTTGTCCATCACCAATTTCCTCAACATGCTTTTCAAGATCTTGTTAAACCTTTCCACTAGTCCGTTTGTCTGTGGGTGATAAACAGCAGTATGGACTGGTTTCACCTCCAACAAGCGTGACATTTCTTTGGATGTCTGGCTCAAGAAATTTGTGCCCTGATCAATTGAGACCTCTTTGGGGAAACCCAGTCATGAAAACACCTGCATCAGTTCTCTTGCTAACACTTTAGCTGTGGTGGATCTCAAAGGGATAGCCTCTGGATAGCAAGTGGCGTAGTCTATGATAACCAAGATGTGAGTGTGTCCCCCAGCTGACTGTAACAATGATCCCATGATATCCATGCTGAAAGGTAGGTCCACCAGGGGCATGGGAATTAAGTTTGCTCCTGGTCCTGGTTTAGCCTGTGTTTTCTGGCACTCTGGACAAGTTAGACAATATTCTGTAATATCTTTGTCCATCCCTGGCCACCAGAATCTTTGCTTTATCCATGGCCTCATTTTCCCGCCTGCTAAATGTCCAGCCATTGAAATGTCATGTGCCAACATTAAAATCTTCTTCCTCCACTTCTGTGGCACTGCCAATTGTTGGTCCCCTTCCTCGTCTACCAAGTACAGCAATCCCTCGCATATTTCCAATCCCTTCTGCCCTCTTACTATGGCTCCCACCTCCTGGGCTCCACAGAGCATCCTGCTGCCACATTCATGTCTGCTCGCGCAACACTACTTGTAAAAAATTGCTTTCATCTTCATTTTCCACACAATCCCCTTGCTAACCATCTCTAGAGCCGAAGACTGGGCAGGTTCCCACCCAGTCCTGACCTAATAACATTTCCTGTGATAGTTCTGGTACTACCTCCACTTTCATCTGTCGTGATTCTTTTCCTACTTTCACTTCCGCCCACGTTGTCTGATAAGTCTTAACGTCTGATAAGTCTTTCACATACTCTTCCACATTCCCCCCATGGGGTGGAGTTTTCTTTACCGACGTCCTCTGCCATGCAATAATCCTCCACTAGGCGGAGTGCCTCCTCCAAGTTCTTGGGGTTGTTCTTCTGCACCCAGCTCTTCACGTTTGTTCTCAATGTATTAACCAGCTGTTCCATAATAATTACTTCCAGTAACTATTCTTTGTTTCTTTCTTCTGGTTTCAGCCACTGCATCAGGTTGGCTCTCATTCTTTGAGCAAGGGTTCGCGGATGCACCCCCGTCTTCATCCGTAACCTCTGGACCTTTTCCTGTATGCCTCTTCTGTCAAGTTCAAAGTCCACAGGATCGCTGTCTTTACCACTTTGTACTGAGCCACATCGTCAGGGCTCAAGGTATGTATTACTTCTTGTAGCAGCCCTGTCAAGCAGGGGATCAGAATCAGGGCCCACTGCTCCTTCGGCCATCTGGCCACTATGGCCACTCTCTCAAATGTATGCAAGTAAGCCTCTGGGTCATCTGTCGAACTCATCTTTTGTATTCTAATTGGAGCTGGTGCTGCTACTAGTCCACCCTTATTCCAACTGTAATTCTTTTGTAACTTGTCCTCCTCTACTTCTTGTTTCATAATCCATTTTTTCAATAATGTCTGTTGCTCAGCCAAATTCTCTATCAATTTCTCCTGCCTCTCGATAGTTCTTTGGAGTTTTGAAATTTCTTCCTTTCCCGCCTGAGGGGTCACCCCACGTTGGGCGCCACTGTGATCAGGTTTATCAAAAACTGGTGACAGTTCCCTCATTTTGGTGGGAATAAGAGACAGAGGCAGTTTTAAAAGTCCAACAGATTAGGTTTTATTAACATCAACTTCAGGATCACTAAATTAAATGGAACAAAACAACTCAGTTCAGGGATTGTCCTATAACTCAAGATCTTGGGTCCCAGTGTAAATATGTCATTTTTCACATTGGGGCTGGAGCGCTTGTGGTCAGTCATCACTCTCAAGGGGGTGCTCCTTACTGTGCACACTGTCCCACAACAGGGGTGGGGTCTCGCCCAGTCCCCTTCTGGAGGTGGAATGTTGTAGGAGGGACTGGGCCGGATCACTTTCCTCCCCCCACCTTGGTTGCAGGGTAAACCACAACCGTCCATTCTAACTGCTTCGCCTCTCTTCTTTCTACCTTTGGTAAATCGGGGTCTGGAAGTAATCCTCCTCCTGTCTTTAAGTTCGGAAAGTCTTTTAACAAATCATCAATCTTGTTGGGTTTTTCTTCATTTCTTTCAGTTTGAACCACGCAATCTCTCGTTCCTTTTCTTATCTGGTCTGTTTCCACTCTAAATTCCCACACATCGCCCCACTCTTTTATAACCTCCTCCCACACTATCAAATCTTGTTCCTCCCGTTTTCCCTCCTCCTTGTCTTCTGCCAAACACACCTGCACTCCTCTTTTCCCCTTTATTCCATCCTCCTCTATTTCTATGAGCACTCCCTCTGCACGTACACACGCCTCTTCCTGTGCACTCTTGGTTGAGGACGGCTTACTAGCTTTCTTCCCTTCACACCTTACTATTGAGAAATTCAGAGTTGAAAATAGGATTTTAAACAGATCCAATTCATACCTCTCAATTTAAAAATCAGGTACTGATCCAACACTATATATTACAAGTATCTTTTGTATTTAATTATTAACACTATTATGACCTGCTACTGTACAATAATATTTAAAAGTCCATGTACTTACCTATTTGCCTTCTTCTGCAGGCTGTTAATATCTTCTTGAGCCTTCATCAGTCTATCTTAGAAAAACTGCAGTTTTACACTCTTCCTAGTTTACTTTGGAGAGGGGAAAAGACAGCATGTAAGATTTGTGTGTACTAGCTGCCAAGTATGTTCTGTGACAGCCTGATCCTACAAGCTACTGTGTTAATAAACCAGCTCTAAGGAAATGGCATGAAATCCATTGCATCACAGCAGCCAGTGATTTTGCCTTGTAATGTGGCACAAGCATTATGACGTCGTTTAGGACATCACACTTACTGTCACGATTGTTATCCTCAGCCATAGCAGATGTGCTGTGTGGTGCTGCTATGTGGCTGCAAACTGGTGGGATAGGTCTCAGCTGTAGTTCACTGAAATTTATCCCAGTTCATCCAAAGGATTCAGAATTAGTAACAGTGTGCTAATTATTTAACCCTGTCTTTCTTCCTCTCCTTAAATCCTTGGCTAACCCACACTGTGATAATACCATAAATAAAAGGTAGTATTAAATATTGCTTTATTTTGAGAAAATAACCAGAAGCAGGCTCTGATGGCTGATGAAATTCTTCAAGGTTACCTTTACAGAGAGTAAATATGACAACATACCAAATCATCCTCCTCCTACTGCTCCAGTAAGGATGGCGTCAGCTTGTTATTATATTCATTCATCTTAAAATTAACTTCCCAAGCTCTGTTTTCCTGTGAATATATTTAGCTTTCAAATTGTGGGGCTGGCAGCCATCAAGAACATCTCAAGAACCATCTGAATTTGTGAACAGATGGTATATTTAATTAGATGATAGCAAAATTCTCCTTCCCAGAATAAGGTGGGGTCAAAAATGTAATTAGCTCCCCGCATTGTTATCTGTTCAGCCTTGTTAGGACTTCCCAGAATAAGGTGGGGTCAAAAATGTGTTAAATTAGTCAGCTCCCTGCATTGTTATCTGTTCAGCCTTGTTAGGTTACTGCTTGATGAGTGGTTGCTGTAGCTCACCACTTGATATGACTGTAAATTGAAGATGCTATAAGAAATGAACTTTCCTCCTTATCTGCCACACAAGATGGTGATTAACAAATGAATGGATTTTTTCTGATGAACCAACAAATCAATTTGTCAATTTGTTTTTTTCCCCTTTAAAACCCTACAAAATGCGCCCCCAGCACCTAGAGACACAAAAAATACAGAGAAGCTTCCTGTGACTCTCTTTTACAATCACTTCAAGCTTGGTGAAGATTGGGTTTCATACATCCAAGTTATACACCTACAAATTAGACCTCCCCCTCGCCCAGGAAAGTGCCCTTTAGCAGCTGGCTTGGGGCAGCCCAGTCTTCCTCAAACTGGGAAATACCATAGAAGAGAGCCAGGAGAAGCTTCTCTGTGATTTTGGTGTCTCTAGGTGCCTGGGGAATTTTTTTTTTAGGGGAGCCCTTTGTGGGTCTATAACTTGGACATCTGAAACCGAATATTCACCAAACATAGAGGGAATGTAGAGGGGAGTCAGGGGAAACCTATCTGCAATTTTGGTGTCTTTAGGTGATTGGGGAGCCATTTAATAGCCCGGCACATCAATGAATCAAAAATCGCTAAAAATTAATTGATTTGTATTCATCGGGGGGACATTGATTCATATGAATACAAATACTGTAGATGAATTTTGCAATTTATTTTTCAGTTTGTGCCCATCTCTATCTAGGATCAAACTGATGGTGGGGTAACAGTTATTGAAGTCTTAGTGGACTTCATTATGTTCTCCAAGGCTGCAATAATTGTGAATAAGAGTAAGTTGTACCATTTGGTGACCAGATGAGCTGTAGCACTTAGATACCCACCACTATTTTTCTGGATATTTGCTTTGGTACCTTCCAGGCTTATTATCTTTATGATTTATTTATCCAGTTAATTAATGTTTTTTTTAAAAAAAACTTTAATTAGGAGGTTGCAAAACATTGGCTTTCCATGTGGGCCCCCAGAAGCATTCTGCAGCCCTCCACTTCATTTTGAAGTGCGCTCAGCTGCCTAGAAAAGAGGAAAAAGCAATATAGGTGGTAATAGAGAACAAGGAAGTGTTTTGATTGTATTATTTCTCTGTGTTTTACTTGTCTGTTGGGTGTGGTGTGCATTTTGTCTCTCTCTGTGTTTCTCTGGGCAATGCATCAAGAGTTTTCATCCATGAAACTGGTAATTTGTCATGCTTTGTGAAAGCAAATACATGATTTGGCATTTAGAGCTCGGAACCTGCCTGCCAAGTCAGAAGCAACTTGTAGTGACCCTAATAGGGCTTTCCAGATGAGTGAGATTTAAGGAGAGGTTTTACCAGTTCCACTCCCCCCGTTGAGTTTCCGTGATCAAATGAGGATTTGAACTGTATTCTCCAGGGTTCTAGTCCAGCACTCTATCCACACTACACTACATTGGGCACGTTTCCTAAAGCCTCATCAATTTGTTTCTTGCAAGATAAGTTTTGGATCTAAACACGTAAAAATGGTTTTATATTTTGGAGTTTACACTCCAGAGTACCCAACTTGCTGGGGGGGGGCAATGTGTAGCCTGTATAATGTAAAAAATTGTAAACCGCCCGGAGAGTGCTTGTAGCGCTAGGGGGCGGTATATAAGTCCAATAAATAAATAAATAAATAAATAAATAAACTGTATTCTCCAGGGTTCTAGTCCTGCACTCTATCCACACTACACCACATTGGGCATGTTTCCTAAAGCCTCATCAATTTGTTTCTTGCAAGATAAGTTTTGGATCTAAACACGTAAAAATGGTTTTATATTTTGGAGTTTACACTCCAAATGGATGTCTTATGACTGGTCGTACCCATCACAGCAACCATTTTGTGAATAGATAAATCTTCCCAATGACAGCTGTTTTGTAAAGTGCCTATGATGTTCTTTCAAAATACCAAGTGCACCTATTGAATAAACATGTTTATGGATTCCTATAAACACAGGTAGAATAATTAAGAATGAAATCTGTCAGTGTGAATCAGAGACATAAAACGAATGCCTTCATTCTATGTATCCGTTCTAAGATTCTCAGCAGTATTACATCCTTGTAAGTATATTAATGTATCTGATGTCAGTGCAACAGTAGATAAGAATTTTTTTAAATTCCAGTTATGCCATGTAGATTAATTATATTTAGCAGTCATGTCACAACAAGAGTTGCAAAGTTGATAGTGTTTTGGTATAGTTCATGACTCTAGCAAACAATTAAGTCCTAGTTAATACTGGACTATAGGAGAGCTAGATTAGCAATAAAATGAAGGAAGGATTCTAATCTAAGCAACAACTACATTTAAAGGATGTTTTGTGTCAACCAAGAAATGAAATGCTGCAATAAAACGTTTGTTTCAACATTTTAGGATACAACAGTATTTCATCTCTGTAATGTATCAATTACAGAACAGTGTCCTTGTTTAAAGTACTGTAAGACTTCTGTTGTTGTGTGCTCCAATAAACTAGTGCTCTGGAAATTCTTAAAATGGAAGGCACCAGATTTTGCCATATGGAGTGAGAAATCCATCAATCTTGACAAACAAATTTCTTCAGGTAGAAGCTGATGACATTTCCTTCAAGCAGCAGGCCATCATGTCTCTGTGTGTGTGTGTGTGTGTGTGTGTGTGTGTGTGTTTGTGTAGTTTACCCCATGGCCCCTGCTTGTTTCACCAAACAAAGAGCTCAACACACCCTTTAACACGCTACCACCAGTTGATCTCTTTCAACCTACAGTGGTGCCCCGCATAGCGAGATTAATCTGTTCCGGATTAACCATCGCTATGGGAAAACATCGCTATACGGGACAAAAAGCCCATTCCAAATGGGCCCAAAACTCACCGTTATGCGATGTTCCTCCGTAGCGCAGGCATTTTCGCGCCCTTGGTAAGCGAGGGCAGGGTGCGAAAACGCTGCGCGTGGCCATTTTGGGTGTTCCGGCGGCTATTTTGGAACCGCCGAACAGCTGATTTTTAAAAAACGTTATGCGAAGATCGGTAAGCGCAACGCTTACCGATCATCGCAAAGCGAGTTTTTGCCTATC